ATCTCCTCCTGGTGTTGTCCAGCCGCAGCTTCTCAGCTGGTGTTTTTCTGGCACTGGTGGGCCCGGCATCCGAAGCGAGCCCGTTTGGTGGGCGGTCAGCCACCCTTGGCCAGTGTTGGCCAAAGGCAGAGGCTGCGAGCGTGGCTGGGGCTGGCCTTCCCCATGGGCATTCTGCTCTTCCGCTGCGGAGCTGTGTTTTCCGATTGTGGTGGCTGAGGCCCGGGTGGCCCCGTTCCTGCTTGCCTGGCTGGTGGTGTTGCTAGTAGGGAAGCTCCACTGGGATGGTCGCCTGACGGTGCCAGAAGGCCCCAAGCAGCAGCTCCTTGGCTTTTCTTCTTACCGGAGGGAGATCTGGTACCTGCTCTGCCTCGTGGCCATGCTTCTGGTCTGCGTGCGCCTCTCCAGTTTCTTCCACCAGTGCCGTGAAGAGATCCCTCAGTGCCGGCCCTCTCTTTTCCTCTCCCCGCTTGCCAGCCTGAGAAACACGAGGGCCAAGAACCTCTTCTACCTCCTGTGCGTGGCCTTGCTGGCTGGGCTGGTCTATGCAGTGCGCAGCTGGCTGCGACATTACGGCAACCTGAACAGCTCGGACCCCCTCGTGCTCTTTGTGCGCTGGGGTTTCCCACTGCTGGTCCTCTGCATTGCCTGCTACTGGGCCGTTGCCTCCAGCGCTGATGACTCTCTCGGCAAGCTGCAGGAGCTGGTGCAGGTGGCTGTTGTTGCCTTTCCGTGGGCTGTCTACGGACTAGCGTCCATGGGGCTGCTGCTCCTGCTGTGCAATCCCATGACAGTGTTTGCAAAGGACACGCGTGAGTCGCCAGGATCCATCGTCACCCCCCACCTGGGGGTTCCCAGCTCTGAAGTCGACTTCCTCCACGTCATCCCTCAGATCTACAAAAGAATGCAGGAGTCTCAGAAGAGCAGCCTGGAGCGGGGCAGCTGCAAGGCCACCGTCGCAGCGTACGGGCTGGGCAGCGTGTACTCAGCAGCCCTGGTCATAGCGCTCACCCTGCTGGGCTTCCTCTTGATGCTTCTGCACAGCGAGCGGCTGAGTCTCGCCTTCCTGCTCCTCTTCCTGGAGGCCTTCGTGCTGCTGCACATCCACACGCGTGCCAGGGGCCTTGCTGGAGACGCTGGTGAGTGAGGGCTCAGCGGAGCATCCTCTGAATGTGTGACCTGGGCCTCGTCTGCAGTGACCTGGTCTTATTTCCCATGGGAGTGGTAGGGTCCAGTCTCTGCTCTTGAGGAATGATGGTGCACTGATCCTCAGGGCATCCTCCTAGCTGTTTTAAAGCTGCTTAAATCCTCTAATAGAAGAGAGGTGCATGCAGCAAGGATGCAACATGAGAGGAGGAAGAGTCCCTTGGGTCAGGGAAGGGGGCTCTGCACCCATCCCTTCTTCCCAGGGTGAGAGTGGCCACTGAACCACACTGTTGCTGATGGAGTCTGGTAGCAGGGCAGGCAGCAGAGGGAATGCCTGGCCCCTCGGCTTGTCCTCTGGTGGGAGCCTGACATTTCTGTCTGTCAGAAGAGAGAGTGTGGAAAGGGAACCTGGAAGAAAACCTGACAGGCTTTTTTTGACAGTGGATCTGTCTTGTTCCTTGATGCTGATCTCTCTCTGTCTCTCTCTCTCTCTCTCTCCCTGTCTTTTTTTTTTTGAAATCTCTCAGAGCCTTTCTCGGTGCCCTGGTACGCAGTCATCTCCTGGCTCCTTGCTGCTTCCCAGTTCTTCTATTCCACAGGCCACCAGCCCATCTTCCCAGCCATCCACTGGAATGCAGCTTTTGTGGGCTTCCATCTTGACCACAGCACGAACCTCCTGCCTGCTGTCTTGGTGGGCGCCAACACCTTTGCCTCCCATATCCTCTTTGCAGGTAAATCAATTTCTTCCTGGGCTGTTGAGCCTGAGCAGACATGGCTCATTGCTTTGCCTTGTTTGGAGGCCTGCAGGCTGAGCACGAGGTGGTGAAGGCTCTGGCACCAGTTGAACAGCAGCATCCGTGCCGTGCCCTGCCAGGGCCACAGAGCTGCCCGTGGCCTGCAGCCTCCATGCAGTTGTGGCTGACCAGCAAACTGGAGCTGGGGTATAGGCGTCCTGGACATGCAGGGCAAGGTGGCAGACCCTAGACTGCTCCTCACCTCGTGGCCTCCAGTAACTTCATGTGCCTTTGTCCTTGAGGTAGTCGGCTGCCCTCTGCTCCTGCTTTGGCCCTTTGTGTGTGAGATGCCCAACTCGCCAAAGAGGAAGCTGAAGAAGGAGCCGCAGGAGGAGCTGCAGGAGGTGGAGGAGCACATGATGGAGATGAGGCTGCGGGAATCCCCGGAGAAGTTCTCCACTGCTCTGCTGCAGCTGGGGCTGAAGTACCTCTTTGTCCTTGGGACACAGGTACGGTGGAGGCAAGGTGGCTGTAGGGAAGGCTGTCCAAGAGGAGACTGGTGTGCCCTGAGAGCCATGGGCCACTCTGATGAGAGAAAGGGGTCAGCCAGGGCACAGATAAGCATTGGGAAGGGCTTCAGCACGGAAGCTGCAGTATGGATTAGGCTGCAGTATGGATTAGGCTGCTTTTCATACTAATCTGCCCAGAGTGGCAACATCTGTCCAGAAATGACAGGGTTGTAGTCCTGCTCCCGCTCCTCCTGACCATGCCTATGTATTTTGCACCAGCTCTGGCTTTCATCTGGTCCTGCGCTGTGATGATGTAGGGAGCTAAACATCAGAAATCTAATCCCATGAGAGAAGTAAATAGCTTTCTGGGGCGTAGCCCTCCAAATCATTCTTCTTTGTGGTCAGACCAGAGACAGTGCAGGGGAGGGGGAGTGCGGGAGTGCTACTCCCAGTGAAATATTAGATCTGGTTAGCCACAATTTGCGCTCTTCTCTGGGCTGTCCCAGCCTGGCCCCAGGAAGGCCTGCATGTACCCCAAGCTGTTTGTGTTTCCTGACTTGAGGACGTGAGGGAAGGGAATCCTCTTAGGCATTCTTATTTCTGGCATGTGTTCTACCGGCCTCTCAGATGTGTGCAGTTTAGTACCACCTTCAGGGATGAACCTAGTGCCCAGAAGGTCTCTCCAAACTCACCTGTAACTTGTTTTTCCTGCTCTGCCCCACAGCTTCTGGCATGCGTTTGTGCAGCTATGATCCTCAGGAGGCACCTCATGGTCTGGAAGGTCTTTGCTCCAAAGTAAGTCCCAGGAGTTGCTCTGGTGCTGGGTTAGGGCTAACAGCCCTGGCATCTTGACTAGAGTTCGTAGACAGTAATGTTTTAAGAGACCCTGTGATCAATCTTCTGACTTCGTACCTAGTAGAGCCTGTGGGACTGGTCTTAACTAATTCCTGCTTCAAGTTCAGAAGCTGGACTTGAGCTAGAGCCTAGAAGGGTCTCCTTATCTTGATTTCCAAGGACATATGGAGCCCACCTGGAAACTAAGAATATTGAGGGCAGAGAGCTGAAGGTAGGGATACCAGCCTAGAAATGGTAAACCCATAAATGGTAAACTAGCAAAACTTTGACCTAGTAGGAGTTGTGGGGTGGCCTTGGCCTGCAAGGGATTCAAGATCCCACCTGGGTGTTGTCCTGGATGGCCTCTAAACCAGAGGTGTGCTTGGCTTCCAGGTTGCAGGCAGCAGCTGCTGGGGAGTGAATGTAATTCAGTTTTTAGGATCTGAGGTGCTACCAGCCTCTCACTGTCAGGAAAATCAGTCTGCTGGGAGTGAGGGCAGCGGCCTGTCCTTGCAGGCGTGCTGGCTGTGATGTCCTTACCGCGTCTGTTGTGCCTGCAGGTTCCTGTTTGAGTCGCTGGGCTTCGTGGTGAGCAGCATCTGCCTCCTGCTGGGTATCTCCCTGGTGATGCGTGTGGACTGTGCCGTCAGCACCTGGTTCAGCCAGCTTCAGCTCAGGTAGCGCTGGAGATGTGGGGACCCTGACCTGCTCGTTGGCCGAGGCTGTGGTTGTCTCCCTGCTTCACGTGGGCCAGGAAGGATACGCAAGCCACGAGCAACGAGTGCCTGCCGACAGCAATCAGGGATTGTCCCCAGCTCCCTGCCTCAGCGCTGCACAAAAGGAATGGAGCCAGCTGTTCCCCGCTCGTTGCGGTGGTGTTTCTCAGCAGTGGAGGTCAGAGCTCTTGCTGGGAGTTCGCTGGCAGCAGGAGGACTCTGCTGCAGCAGCCCAAGAAGCAAAAGTCCTGAATTGCTCCTCTGGAGAAACACCAGCCGGGGGTCTTGCTGCTACTGTACTGACAACTGTCCCCACTGTGCAGCTGTTCGGCTTCAGCGGCCAGTAAGGTGTCACCCTGCCTGCACAGAGACCGTGACTCAAGGGAAGGGGTCTGCTGAGGAGGTGAGGGAGGGAGGAAGCAGAGGGAAGGTCCTGCAGCCACTACTTCTCTTCGTGTGCTCCATTTTCACACTGGTATCAAAGTGCGTGTGGTTACGCATGCAGGCAGTTCCTGAGGTCTTGGTGGCAGCTGCTCCTCTGTAAAGTCAGTTGGTTGCTCTGTAGTGAGGCCTCTCTGGCCTCACACCCGCTCCCGTTTTCCCTGTCTTCCTCAGCCCCAGGAAAGGCAGCGGGGAGCACTCTGGGCTGTCTCATCCAGCCTGAAGCAGCCTTAGCTTGTTGGCAGGGGTGGCAGGAGGGAGAACTGTGTCTGTGACCAAGAAGCTCTCCACTTGGGGTCTCAGCTTGTCAGTGTCCCCGTGGGCTGGGCCGTAGCAGCTGGGGCTCCCGATCCCTTCCTCAGCGTGTGCTGCTGGAGGCCAGCTATTGATGGTAAGCAGTTGAGAAGCAGCAGGAGATAGTGACAGAACATTGGCTCATCCCCGTGTTGGGTCTGATCAGGAGGAAAGGGGAGTCTGGAGCAGCTGTCCCAGCTGCAGGAGTGGCCTTGCTGGGAGCTCCGGTGCCCGGGAACAGCTGCTGAAAAGCCCTGAGCAAGTGACAACTCTGCTGGGAGGTGGCTTACCTCACTGGTGTCTGTGTGTGTGCTGGGGGTTGTGTCACCATGAGGGGTCCCCAGGCGCTGCAGCGGATGGCGTCTGTGGTCCCACATTTGATGCTTATCTCCCTCTCGACCTTGGTGTTCTGCGTGAGACTTCATGCGGCAAGTGAGCTGCACCAAACCCACCCCTGACTGCTTGCAGCCAGCAGATGTATTTTCTTTCTTTACTGGCAGAGGTAGAGGACAGTGACCGTGGTGCCTGGCCACATCCCAGCTGAGTTTCCCTTGCAGTTTTGGTGGGAGCTGGGATTCCATACTGCCCTGAACCGCGCTGTGGCGTTACTTGGTGCTGTGCAACCTTCCATCTGTTTCCCTCCTGGAAAGAGCTGAGGATGCTTGCCTGGGATTGCTGCATTGATTTTTGTTCTGATCCCGCCTGTTTGTTAACTCACACACCGTGACTGCCCGTGTTTGAGTTCCTCACTGCAGACTGCTAGCATAACTCCAGGCTCTCCTCTGCCCTCAGAGTCCTGGGCAAAGTGTCTTGTCACCTCTCTCATTATTTCAGTTCTTGCCATTATGCCCAAATGTCCAGTTGCTGTGGAAAATGGCTTCTGAGGCCAGGTTTAGTTTTGTATTTTACTCCTGCAAAATGCTTGCTTGGGTGTTAGGTTGCAGTTCCAGGGAGGCTTAAACTGCTCGAATTTTGGGTTTCCATTGCCTGGCCTCCTCCTGACCTGCTGGCTGTGTTCTCCCATCTCAGCCTCGCATCTCCCCGGTCCTGTGGGCCTGTCCCGCTTAAATATCACCCAGCACTACCAGGGAGTGGTTTCTAGCTGGTGTGACTCCCCGGGCTGCCTCGCTACATGGCTGCGTGCACACCAGTGCTGGTGCAAGGCAAGGGGCAGCAACATGCAGCGGGGGGAGGCTGGAGGGGGCAGGAACACATCGGCCCACAATTAGATGGGCTGAAGCAATCCCACCCTTAAAAATAGGTTACTTGCTGTATACTGTGGGAGTGCTGGTGGACGGCAGGTTGACCATGAGCTAGCAGTGTGCCCTGGCTGCCAAGAAGGCCAATGGTATCCTGGGGTGCATCAAGAAGAGTGTGCCCAGCAGGTCGAGGGAGGTTCTCCTTCCCCTCTACACTGCCCTGGTGAGGCCCCTTCTGGAGTACTCTGTTCAGTTCTGGGCTCCCCAATTCAAGAAAGATGAAGAGCTACTGGAGAGAGTCCAGCGGAGGGCTAAGA